CACCAGGAGCACAATATATTGGTGCTTTTGATGGGATCCGAGCTTTCACCTGGTCAACGAAGTCATGTGAATTCATTGCATCTTATTGCGTGACGCAGTTCGATTCTTGGATTATTAGGCCCAGTATCATCCCTCCGAGTGGCTCATATCTCGTGCCTCCAGTAGAAGGCAAGACAGTTTATACACTCCATTCCGAGGCGGATGCAAGGCCTGATTCAGAAGATGAGTCCTGGATCAAGTGCCCATTTTACGACCTCTCGCCGAGCGGCTCAGAGGGAGTGGCCCTGCCCTCCAGTGTTTATTCATCTATCACAGGAAGAATCCCGCTAATCGAGTCCTCATCAGTGTGGATTAACGGCAGCGTAGTACTCATGGTTCCAGTGGACTTTGAACCCCATGAAACCTGTGCCTGGTATGGTGATCGAATGCCACCTGATGTTATGGGGCTCTACCGCCCTCAGTCCAGCAGAGATGGAACCCGATTTCTACTCCAGGGTGAGCGAAGAGCTCCAATTGTTGTTGATGTCAGCCAAATTTTGCCTTCGAATGGTCCGCCTCTGGATTTGAGTGGGACGTGAGATCCCAACATTCCGGGCTTGCCTCGTGTTTCGCGTTCACGGGGGAGGGATGTTCCGGATGGTAGGAGGGATTCACATATGCAATATGAAAGTCATTACGTGACATATCTTTCCACTCAACTTTCTTGCATAACATTCCACTGTGTTACTGTAAATTCCATTCTGCATGCTCAACTTACAGTCGCTCATTACTTATGCGTCCAAACCCTAGCAATAAACTGATAGGTCTCGCCGGGATGGGGAATGTGGCGGATACTTCTAAAATTGAAACATTCGCTCTTTCCTGAATTTTCCGCCTCATATCTGTTCAACGTTAACTCAGTAAGAATTGCGCATGTACGAGCGACAGTTATAACCTTGTAGTCGTCGAGCCGGACGTTTCCCTGCGCCGTGGCCACTGCGATCATACCGAACGCATCACCAAGCGATAGGTACGGGCCAGAGTCCTAGCAATCAGGTCCAATGAGCTCCCACAACACCTAGAGGTTGACCGAACCGAACCTCTTCTTCCGTGGAAGCGACACTTCTTGGATCATGAGGTATTCGGAACCACAGAAGACACGAACCATCGGTGCTGCGTCAGACTGGGTGAGCACTCCCGCGGCTGGGAAAGGAGAGTGCCGTCCAGAAAGTGTACATGTTGTGGCTGAAACAATATCAGCATTCACACTACGCGAGGAACTCGACGACGCTATCGACCTTTGAATCGAGAAGGAAAGTTGTGCTCTATTGCTGCAAGGAATCCTGGTGTCCGAAGCAGTAGATAAAGCAAGGCTATGCGCGCAGCAAGCTGCTCAGAGATGCCTTTGTACGTCCTTGGATGAGTGAGTGTAAATTGATCGCGGGATACGCATCCCACTTGCGATTACTGGTATCAAATGTGGAAATAATATACGATTAGATCAAACGTGAGCCACCTGCACGAAACATCAATATCAGCTCGGAACAAGTGAACGAGCCCCAAACATATCCCTTCGCTAGCAAGTTCCGGCTGACGACGCATATGGTGACATCCCAGGGTTCTGTCGTTCGTTCCGTCGATGTGAGGAAGAACTAACGACCTTCGTGGAGAGTAGTCCATTATATGGAATTAGCTTAAACACCTGGGACGTAGGGTTAGTAAGTTAAAATTGCACGAGATATGGAGACGGAATCTACTAAAATGCTGTGACGTCCTGAGCCAACTTCAACCGTGTTCTCGTATGGCCATGCCCTTCGAAGGCGAGATTCAATAGAATATATCTTGAATTAGGCTGAAGAATATATATGCCTTTCCAAACACAAAGTCAACCCGTAGATTCACGGGAGTGCACATCCTTAATGGCCAATGAGGCCAGACGCTACGAGAATGTTTATGAAATCGACGCCGGTCGCGAAAATTCGTGAGGTAATGCGCCTGGGTAAGGAACGATCGTGGATGAATACAGCAGTCATAGCTGCATCTGCACCCGTATCTAAGCTCGGTGCAGAAGCAACGCAACCAGGCTAGGTGTCCGTGCGGAGGAAGCCTCCAGTGCGTATGCATTATCATGTCCAACAAAGGGCTGGCATGGAACACTCTTGCGTTCGCCTTTCGAACAACTTCGAATGCAAAGGTCTACTTACACCGCAAAAAGGCCAAAATATAGCTCATGGTTGAAGCGCGTTATTGGTGGAAAATAGGATATAACACGAGTTAAATCTGCGTCACATTAGTAAATATTAATTACCGTGTTTATTTGGAATATAATTTGCCTGCTGAGACTTATAAATTCTAGGTGGACGCGGTATGAGCTGGCTTCACCTTCTACCACCACCATCCGCCTCTGAAGCCAACCCATCAGGTGCCTCTCCTAATTTTGTAGTCGACTGATCGGTATCTGCGACGTTTCCCACGCCGGGTGCGCTTGTCGACGCTGTTGTGCTCTGGAAATCAAAGAAGCACCCACTGAACCATGGGTGGACGAAATGTACGCCCCACAGACTACCGGTAAATGCTAAGCATAACTAGTTTCTTCCTGCACATGCACTGCAACTCGTTTCCCACCCCACACTCGCGACTGTCATCACCTCTCCTTCTTGATAGCGCCGACTGTGCCCATACAACGCGTGCCATGACTCTGAATATGGTCCCCTCTTTCGGACCCCCTCAGTGATAAAGGCCCATATGATAAAACAACGCGTCTCGTCCAGTTGGGGCGGCTACCGCAACGCCGACATCCCCTCTAGTCTCCACATAGAGGGTTCTTCATACTCACGTTAAGTGGCCAGTATTGGCAGGCTGCTTTGGCCTGCGGTCAGGAGTTGGCTTAAGTATCTCTCCACCATGATCGACATAGCTTTCTAACATTTCTCTGACCATGCCTGTTCTAGTTGACCATTCATTTTCACGAGCCCCTTTACTCCGGAGGTAAGCCAGCTGGCAGTATTATATTTCTGATTCTTCGTCTTCATGTGGCTGAGCTGAGAGACTTGACATGGAACTAAGTAGTTGGAGGATGAGACGGTCTCGACTTGAGCGCTGGCGCGAAGCTTCTAGTAGGGCTCGGTGATTTGGTTGGGGACACTCGGACTTACAGTAATTGTAACACAAAGCTTGGGGAATGCTCAATTTGGATAATTTCAAACGCGCGCCAGAAATATGTAAGATTGGGCATAACGTGCGTTATATACATACATGAGCATTTAAAACATGGTCATATTGTCTTTTCTATCTCACAATTATTTCTTTCTAAAGAAAGTTATTTTCATGTCATATCTACACTTCTACGCGCGTTATTCTGGTTTCATATTTAGCTCATTGCGCTGTGTTAAAACAGTAGATTAACTTGCCTCAGATTATAGCTCACCCTTGGCGGGCACATGGAATCTGGGGCTGCATTGAGGCACGGTTGGATGGCCTGACCTTGACCATAAGGAGTGATCGAAGATGGGAGGAAAATCAGGCATGAAAAAACCTAGCAGTTTACGTGACTCGCAACGCTGTTGAGGTGCCCCGGCGTTTGGAGAATGGATAGCACATGTTATTCGCACCAGGTACACAACTAGATGGTACCGTGTGCCAACTAGAGCTGGAACGAGTTCGCGGAGGGGCTAGGCACAGGCTACACGACGCAATAAGGACATGTTTTATTCCTTCTTGGCAGATAGACAACCCCTAACGAGGCTGTATGGGTTATTGCTGCGGGAGGAACATATGCAGGCTAGATGACGCCCGTGGGTTGCCGACATCCGATCTGGAGACCAAGTTACTCCGGCTCTCCGTGTACAAATGGTGAGTATGTTACAATAGACCGGATTGAATCACCGGGTTGTGCGCGCGCGCGGATGGCGTATGTGCGTGGTAATTTGAAATAAACTTTATTGGTGACGACGTAATGGCTATTTCCCTATGCGGTACTTCCATTTCTGACCTCTATTCAGTGGGGTCAGTTGGATCGAAATATCATCGAATTTTTTAGTGCTTGAGCCGTACTGGAGAGTCGTCATCAAGGCGTAACTTCAGAATCCCAGATAAGAATAATCCCCACGGAAACGGCTCCGGGTGCGTCACGTTGAGGCATCACGATGTCCACATGTTTCCTGAGCAATAGGGCACCCTACGGCAAAGCGAAGCCAGCTGGAAGCTAAGGTCTTCGCCCGAAGCTCGATCGATCCGGCCATGCATCTGCCAGCAGAAAGAGATCGATAATCGGCATCCCGAACCAACGCGGTGCGATACATGGACTTTTGACTGGCAATCAGATACGTTGCCACTGCCGAGTTCTAATTGATCGTTCACGGAGGGTTGTATGTTCGAAGCAGCATTTTTCGAACTGCAGTGAAACCATAAGAATGTGCAACGAAAACGATATATTGATGCTATGCCACCATCTCCCCATTATCGTATCGACAGCTTATCACCATTATCATCAATCGAAAGTTGATAGACAGTGGTTGCGGACCCACTCTTTGCCTTTCCAAGTCTAGCTGCGGGCCTTAATCCTCCGCTCCAATTATAGGCCGCGCTCTCAGTGGCTGCATCTCAAAGTTATGCGTAAAGGTAAAGCCTCCACGGTACGCAAGCCTAATCAGCAACTCTAATCAGTCATTATGAGATCCAAACAAGGAATGTCATCGGTTATGACTTTAGATCGAGCAGAAGTCCCCTCGCCCATGGAATACCGAGAATTGCAGGGTTGGCCTACTGGCGTATGATTAAAAGAATGTGTTACTGAGCAACAGATGGGTTGTCCACTTGCGGAATGGTTTGTCGTCAGCGATTCGAAAACCGTCTGCATTTCGTTTCGAAGGTCGGGATCAGGTTCGAAGCAGGAAGTGAGAATACTAGGGTCCGTTGAAAAGGGGGTGAATGGTGGCTTTGCAGTTCCGATGGCCCATATAAGGGCATCGTTCTCAACGGTGGGATATGGTCGCGCACCGCGAAGTATCTGAGCACACTGCTCAGCTCCCAGAACCAAAAATGCGTTGGAATAATCGTACCTCCATGGCTGTGCATCCGAATGCCCAGACATCACTCTTCATGTTGCGAAAGGGTTCTTCGGCCATGCACACTTCAGGTGCTAAGTATCGCCAAGTCCCAAACTGACCCATGCTTGTGGCGTCGATATATGTAGATTTGTCCGAAATAATGAATGAAAGGCCAAAATCGCATAACTGCGGTGTTTTCTCACTGCTCACGACAACATTTTGCTGACGATGGAATTACTGATTATGTCGATGTGTGACATGACAAGGACTCACGGGTTTGATATCGCCATGCACTATCTCCCGGGAATGGAGATATGCTAAGCCATGGGCAATCCCGCAAATCTAGAATAGCACGCATGAGTAAGTGGTCCATAGGGTGCAGAGGTCGGTTCACCAAGGCTTGGCGGTCAGCGTCCTGACGGCGCCGTAGATAAGATTTGACATTCCCTTCGTCGCACCAATTTGACACCAAGCCCGGACATAGATCTTCCGTGCTTTCAAGGTATGATATCCATCCATGAAGCTTAACTATGTGTATTCGTCAATTGGCGCCACACCCTCATCTCGCGGACCAGTCGCTTGAAGGATTGCGAATGAATGGCAGCGGATTGTCTCTCATGTACGAGTTAACATACGTGAAGAAATTCGCTGACAGGATCACGATCGATATATCTGAAAGCCTTGATGCAAACCTTTTCCTAGAGAGACGCGTGAGAAGGCAGTTCGAGCACGAATATTGATTTGGGGTGTTTATAATGTAGATACGAACCGTGTTGTAGGTTCCCTCGTATATCACCCCAAAGGACCATGCTCGATTATGCGGTATAGCTACTTGACCGTCAAGAATCCTGTCGTCAACTTGCAGCAGTCTCTCCTTGATATTTTGTAGTAGTTCATCGACGGGTGACATGGCTCAATATTCACCATGTGTGAGGGGATAAAGACAGTGAAGAGATCCAAGGGAGAAGGTGTAGGGTGACCCAGCAGGACAGAAAGAGCTGGTCTGCCACAGGGCACTAAAGCACCCCTTATTTGGTAATGCATGGTAAGTAAAAGCAGACTACCGATTGCGGGAATTGAAAAGGGTTAATCTTTGGTGGGGAGTGAGGATGCTGAGTAGGGAACGGTGTGAATAAAGCACAATTGCAGGTCAAAGTGAATGGGAACAATCCATAGTGAAAGTGGAGAAACAGGTTCAGTTGAAATGGTCAACTATTTGGAGAAGATGGATCCTGTGGAAGGAAAGGGCCCTCGGCTCCCTTTCTAGAGGACGTTTTGCAATTGAAGACGAATTTGCAGGTCCCGCCAGTACATGGAGATAAGGAGATAAGGATTACTGAGGATCGGATGCAAATTCTGGAACACAGCCAAAAATGGCAGCTCGCGATATGAAAGCTAAATCTAGATATGTGGGACCTTCCTGAGCCACTGGATACAGCGAATGTGCGTATATCATAAGGCTGCTCCGTGCTCCTTAGGCCGGCGCTCCACTTCTCCGCTTCTCTGCACCGTACACACCATACACCGACCAAGATGGCAGATCAGACGTTAGCATCGTCCCCTTCGAGCAGCCTTGTTGTCAGAGATTCACATAATCTGGACAGAAGGATCGTGTTCGATATCAGGGACGGGCGGGTTATCGCCCCTAACCTAGTCAGAGTAAGTACAACGCAGTTAACTCGGCTAGGTTTCCCTCATTTGTCGGGGCAATTAGGGCGGAGTGGTTGGCGAGAGCGGCACTCTCGTAGAAGTCATACACGAGGTTGAACTCTCGCAGGAGGTGGTGGAGCAGGCGGTGGGGCGGGACGATGCAGAGGCGGCGAAGCATTTTGTTCAGGTTTGCAATTTGTTCGCCGGGATCAGCATGAGGCTAACTCTCGTCGCAGCGCGTGGAGCGCCAATTAAATGTCATTTGCTCTTTGGATCATATAAACATTGCTCGATTCCAGGGATGGACGATGATGCTTGAGGATGAAACTTGGCTTCGCGCGAGGGTCACGTATGCTAGTTGTGAGGGAGGGAAAGTTATGGATTATCTCAGTGCCAATGTGAATGCGGATCGCCAAAAACTGGTACGTCAGGTGTGCCTTCTCCAGAGTGTCCGTGTTTACCCTAAGTACTTCATCAGATTCTTGGAGTATCTCGAGGGCTTTCATATCTTCATTCTAAGGATATCGTCCACGGAAATCTCAATCCGGTTCGTATACCTTGGCCTGCTAATCGAGAACCACTCATCACCCCCCTAGGGTAACGTACGTATCGACTGCGGCGCCAATGACACGCATCCCATTCCTCGGATCAGTGGCTTTGGATCCTCGTACGCCATGACAGATGTCACCCCTGTCCGCCTCATAGTGGAGGGTGCGTGCTCCGTACCTTTAAGGTATGTCGCCCCAGAAGTCCTGGCCGGACGTGGAGTCCCATGCGACCAAAAGGGTGACATTTGGTCCCTTGGATGCACATCCTCACAGGTATTCCACGCCTCTTGTGTACCAATTGGGATCTCACCGTTTTCAGATGCTCCTCGGCAGACGTCCCTACGAGAGTATCCGCAACGACTTCCACATTCCATTCGCAGCCGCGAGACATGTAGCTCCCTATACGTGGGACTCTTCGGATCCTTACCATCAAGCACTTCAGCGCTGCCTCATACATGATCCTTCACAGCGTGCCGCCGCCAGTGACGTTGTCGAAAGATTAGAGTAAGTTATTTCCTTTGTTTATTATGTAAGGTGGAACTAAAATTTGGCAGATTGGTCATTGCCCTTTCAGAAATCCGGCGCCAGCTTCTCGAAGTGGAAGAACGCAATCTCACGGGTAGAATCCAAATTGTTGGAGATATATTTCAAGACGGCTCTGGTGTACGATCTAGAGGGATTTGTGGTGGGGTGTGCATGCGTGCTATCTTTAGGCTCGTTCGTGCTTGACAGATCAGATCATTTCTGATAGGAGGACGTCTGTGTCCGATACTCCAATGGCATTTCACCGTCAGATGGAAATGAGATCCTCAATGGGCAGGTGCGTCGGTGGCGTCTATATCTCGAATTTCTAATTTTCGTGGGCGCATAAAGATCCTTCATATCAAAAGGCACATCCGCATATGGGGTCGACTTGTCCATCGAAATATAGAGGCTTTTCGTGGGTGGGCTTTGAGCGTGGAAGGACGCAAACTTCATGTTGGCTTTATCTCAAGCTGGCGAGAGAGCGTGGCTGTGAGGCGTTATCTGCGGCAGAACCCAAGCGCAGATCGGCGTGAATTGGTGAAATTTCATCTTTTTGCATTATGTATTAACTTGGCATCAATCTGACGCATCCCCAAGGTGCACGGCGTTGCACAAGGCCTCCTTTATTTGCACTCGGAGGGGGTTGTACATGCAAATATTCACCCAGTCCGTCTGATACTTTCTTTCAAAAATTTCGAGATATATCAGTCCAACAGGACAACGTTATGATCGGGAACGAAGGGGATTCATATTTGCGTGGCTTCGACTTCTCGTATGATCATCGGTCCGAGGAGCCTCTATACGGCTATCGCGGCGGCTTACAACTCCGATTCACACCCCCGGAGTTGCTAAATCGTCCCACACCAATACCCACAGAATCGAGCGACATATGGGCATTCGGATGCATTTCCGGCGAGGTATGATTTGTTGTTGTGCTGATGAACCGTTATGCCGAGTACCTTTTTAGATACTTACCGGCCGGCCACCCTATGCTGGGCTAAGTGATACGGAAGTGATGACAAATCCAGTAGCGAGCCCCGTCGCGCCCTACCATTTGAACGACGTAGACCCTTTCGAAGGGGCGATCCCTGGGTGTTTCCTCCCTCGGGATCAACGTCCGAGAATCAAAGATATCATAGGGACTTGGTCTCAACATCTTTCTCCACCTATCCATGCACCCGCTCCTCCTAATAACGACGATCCCACAAAATCATATGTGGCAGGTTCCTCAAGGGAGTCCCGCCGCTCCAGCAAAGGCTCGGGATGCCTCACATGTAGACTTCGCAAAAAAGTGAGCAACACCTTCACGCTTGAACTGCTATGACTAATTTTACGCGAAAGAGATGTCCCAGATTCACGGACAGTACTGATCCTTGCTCCGAGTGTGAAAGATTACGACTTCAATGTCTGCGTCATGGATTCACGTGGCCCAATGTGGGTCATATCCAACATGACTGCCTATGTTTCTATGTGACTTATTCTTGAACAGGAAGAGAAATTGGCTGAAGCTCGACAAAAAATCAGGGAGTGGACAGCCCCGAAGAGACCACGGAGCCATGGTTTGGTCGGTTATTTTCCAAGCTTGCATTCATTGATCAGTGCCATCGTAGGTATGCTGAACCTCTCTGAGATCTTTTTGGATGCTTCCTTGGGGTCGATGTCGCAAGGAGGTGTAATGGGTTCTGGAGTCGGCCCCAGTGGCGGACAAGGGGATACGGGCCCGGCGCATCCTCTGCCTGACGAATTATTCATGGGGTTTGCCTCAGAACAAATCCCCCATCTCGAGAATGTCCAACTACCTCCAGTCATTCCCGGTGTTGACGAAAGCGATAATGCTGGGGAAGCGCTCTGTTGGCCTGCCTTTTCATTATGATCCAGGGATGCGGTGATTGCACAACAATGACCAAGGTGTTCATCCTCGCGATGAGCGCACCAGGCTCCGTACAGAGTGCCTTGCAGCGATCCAGGGGGCGGCCTTGTCTGGTTTCATGTCAGCATGGCAGTTAATGCTCATTCCATCACCACCCCTGGGAATCTGGGGGCCAATCCTCGTGGTAGATCAGACTGACAGGGGTCCATATTCGCTAGTGGAAGGGCTTATTAGACAATCAGGATTATGCAGATGAGTTTGTCTTGTAGTCGCTGTACATATTGGTCTGTTGGCTGCTGCAGAGGGTACATGTCGAGATTGCTTGGGCCACGGGTTCTTTTGGCAGCGTACAAAAAAAACCTTAGTCAACTGAAATCTTGCCGTTAAGCCCATCTGAAAGTGAAAAAGAAAGGACAATTTATGACATCGAATTATGCCAATGCAAGGGATCACGCGTCCCAGCTAAAAAGCAACCGACTGAACATGCGCGCTCCTGCTGCCATACACCAACTTCGATGAAGCAACTGACAAACCCCTCCCGGATGTACTCATCGTTTCTTCACTCTCTGACTCAATAACACCTCTGTTGGAAACCACCTCAGCCTTGAAGGGGTGTTTGGTGTACTGTGGTATAATGACCATAAGTTCAGTCGCGGGCTCAAACCCAGCCGTCTCCGCTTTGTGGACGCACTGCACAATGTTAGAAAATTACCTGCACAGCAGTGTCACTCTCCACCTCCCATAATTACGTTTTTTGTGCCACTTTTGCTTACATGTTTGTCTTTCCTTTCTGAGGTGCATGACCTCATGTTTATTACATGTTTATAACTGGTGAACATGGCAAATTCCTGCCACTCATTCGGCCTCACAAATCTCCCAATTGTTTGCATCCACCTTCTCAAAAATCAGGGAATATCCACAGGTTGAGGGAGCATGGCACCGAGAGCAAAATGACCTCCACACACACACGGTAGTTCTTAGAATAAGTATGCTGATCGCGAAATAACTCAGCTTCACGTTAAAGTGAACTAAGAATCTTATAATACCTGATCGCGAAATAACTATCGTACATTAGTTATTAGTAAGAATCATAATAACTAGTCGAAGTATGAATCTCACCTCAGCTTCACGTTAAAGTGAACTGAGGGGGATGAGAATGCAAAAAGGCGGAAGTTTTATAGAAAAGAGATAGGGCACCAGCGCGTAGTGTGCCAGGCCAAAGAGTAGTCGGTCCCGACTCAAAGCGGGATGTCATAGCGAAGAAGAATAAAGGGAAAAAGAAGTTACAACATCAGCAAAAAATTGTTATGCTCCTGAGTGCTCCAGAGTATGGGGAGCACTGGGAGAATCAGGAGGAGATTGGCCAGTCCAGGAACAGCTCATTTCCTCTGGAGTTGGTCAGGTACTCCAGGGCACTCCCAGGAGGGCATGGAGCATTGCTTTGTGCACAAACATATCCAGTAAATACAATTTAATGCTTCAAAATGTATAGGGGTGAGAAGCTTCTGGGAGCTCCTGGAGCATTTGAAAATGAAAAGGAAAAAAAGGAGGGAAGACTCCCCATGAATACCTCCTACCACAAGACTAACACAACAAGACACTACTTAACATTTAGATCAAACACTATACTATATATCAAGGACACTGAGACTCACCAATACACAGTCAAAATTTATGGCCTGATATATGATTAATCTGGCAACTTAATCACTTTCGGACTTGCAGAATATGGAGGAGGGGGAAATGGGGGAGAATGAGGGGGGAAATGAGGGGGGAAATGAGGAAAATTTGAAAAATAGGGACTTCTAAAAAGTTGGAAAAAATAGTTAGGGAAAAAATCAAAAAAAAATCAGGAACTGTAGTGCCTTTGAAGTGCTTTCAGGATATATAATTATTTGCGAAATTGAGGAAGAAATGATGGAGAAAAATGGAAAATACTTTTGGAGACCCGAGAAATAATGAGAACTGAATTGATGGGAAAGTCTGAAGATTGAATAGGAAAGTGAGGGGAAGCCTTGTAGCATTGTTATTTTCTGCTGTTCTAATTTTTCCTGATTCTTCTTGGTCTCACTCCCAGCTGCTCCTGGATACTCCTGGATACTCCTGGATACTCCTGGAAGCTCCTGGAAGCTCCTGGGAGGGTCCAGGAGCAGCTAATGGAAAATACTTTCGGGGACCCAAGAAATAATGAGAACTGAATTGATGGGAAAGTCTGAAAATTGAATAGGAAAGTGAGGGGAAGCCTTGTAGCATTGTTATTTTCTGCTGTTGTGATTTTTCCCGATTCTTCTTGGTCTCATTCCCAGCTGCTCCTCAATACTCCTGGAAGCTCCTGAAAGCTCCTGGGAGGGTCCAGGAGCAGCTGGGAGTGAGACCAAGAACAATCAGGAAAAATCACAACAGCAGAAAATAACAATGCTACAAGGCTTCCCCTCACTTTCCTATTCAATTTTCAGACTTTCCCATCAATTCAGTTCTCATTACTTCTTGGGTCTCTGAAAGTATTTTCCATTTTTCTCCATCATTTCTTCCTCAATTTCGCAAATAATTATATGTCCTGAAAGCACTTTAAAGGCACTATAGTTCCTGAATTTTTTTGATTTTTTTCCCTAATTTTTTTTTTTCAACTTTTTAGAGACCAAAATTTTCCTCCCACTGCTCCTGGCACATTGCATACTCCTCACCACTCCCAGCCACTCCTGAACCCCCTCCCAGGAGAACACTATTGGCTCCAGGAGTGCCCAATCTGCTGTTTTGTCTCCCACATGCTCCAGCCACTCCTGATGCTCCGGAGCATAACGGACTTTTGCTGATGAACCATGCCACCTTAAACCCATGATGGCCATAGGGCCTAAGCTCCTACTGAGTGCCCGTTGAATTCCAACAGTAGTTGGGAGAGAAGAGGATAATGATGTGAAGGGGTTCTCTATCATTTGTTTTTTACTAGCTGCTGTCAGGGATTAAGTAGGGCCAGCTAACAGGTGGCATCCTGTGCATGCCATTCCTGGTAAAGATGGTCAGAATGAGCTGCAGTAGAGGAGGAAGAGTAAAGTATAAATGAGTGATGCAAAGAGGACAGAATGGCTTTTGGATTGAGGGGAATATTGAAGTGATACAACACCTGGTATAAGAATTTATTGTGTGCAATATCGGTGAGAAAGAGGGAAACACCATCTCTAACATTTGGTGCTCGGCAATGGGCAGTCATGTTTGGTCTCAATTGAGGGGTGGAAAGCGATTAGGAATACAGTGAAAAACAAAAAACATCGAGAGTGCTGGCAAAGTGCTTTACTCCTTCCAGATGGATTTTGCAGAATTATCTTTGTACCATATGTGTAAAGTAAATAAGCTAATGCATGGACTCAGTCTTGAATGAGAGATCTAAGTTGTTATTCCTTTACCTAATGTGTGGACTGTAAATACAATCAGAACTTGCATACAAGGAAGAATAAAAAGGGTATCACCTCAGTCTCAAATGAGAGATCTGAGGGAGTGTGAAAAATTCCGAGCACAGTGTGTTTTATACACCTAGCACCAATATCGCTTATAGCGACTGCTGTCATGACCGACAAATCCCAGGGCTCCATCAGCGGCGAACCAATGCCGATAGGCGAATCCGCCGACCCGAAACCCATCCTAACCAGCCCCCAACCCCATGTCTGGCCCCCTGCCTTACTGCGTGAGACTTGGCCAATAATCAGAACCTAGACCCTGCCGGTATTCCGACCTTACCTCCAGTTCCTGAGCCCTTGGCACTCCCAGCCTAGTCAGCCACCTAATGATGGCCTATAGAGGGGGGGCCGTTTGGCCTTCAAATGGGCCTAAAAGGGGGTATTTACTAGTGGATGTCCTGGGATGATTCTATAATTCAATCAAATTCAATCAAATGCTTCTGTGATTCAATCAAATTTGTATTATTCAGGGTAGACATTCAAAACATAATGCCGCAATTGAATCTGATTTCCCATGACAATCCTCAGGCTGCTCAACTGTCTGTGCACAATGCTGGCCACTGTCTGAAGGGGTGTCAACACTGTTTCCCACGTCCCCAACACACTTTATGCAGATGGATAGCCTTCCAGAATATATATTTTGAGACTGAATTGACCAATAAATCATCGAGAAAAACGCAAAATACTTTTTTGGACACGAGTCTTTTGGGTTAGTGTGGCTGTCCACCTCATGTCTGTGCACAGTGCTGGTCATTGTCCGGAGGGGTGTCCAGACTGTTTCCCACGGTGTCAACACACTTTGCGTAGTTGGATAGCCCCTTCAAATAGCTTCCAGAATATATAATTTGAGACTAAATTGACAAGCAAGTTATTGAGAAAAATGCAAAATACTTTTTTGGACACGAGTCTTTGGGATATCAGTGACCTGGGAATTTCGATGACTTCGATGACTGTCAGTGAAATTTAGTGGCCCAAGCACTATCCCAAAGACTTGCATCCAAAAAAGTATTTTGCATTTTTCTCAATAACTTGCTTGTCAATTTAGTCTCAAATTATATATTCTGGAAGCTATTTGAAGGGGCTATCCAACTACGCAAAGTGTGTTGACACCGTGGGAAACAGTCTGGACACCCCTCCGGACAATGACCAGCACTGTGCACAGACATGAGGTGGACAGCCACACTAACCCAAAAGACTCGTGTCCAAAAAAGTATTTTGCGTTTTTCTCGATGATTTATTGGTCAATTCAGTCTCAAAATATATATTCTGGAAGGCTATCCATCTGCATAAAGTGTGTTGGGGACGTGGGAAACAGTGTTGACACCCCTTCAGACAGTGGCCAGCATTGTGCACAGACATTGAGTTGGACAGCCACACTAACCCAAAGACTCGCATCCAAAAAGTATTTTGTGTTTTTCTCGATAATTTATTGGTCAATTCAGTCTCAAAATATATATTCTGGAAGCTATTCAAAGGGGCTATTCAACTATGTAAAGTGTGTTCAGACCGTGGGAAACAGTGTTGACATCCCTCTAGACAGTGGTCAGCATGCGCACAGACCATGGGATGGACGAGTATGGCATTCCGGGACAATTTGCAACCATTGAATCAAACTGAATTAGGACATCTGAGGACGTTTGCAAC